AAAAAAAAAAAAAAAACTGAGGTAAAAACTGATTTTCAAATTTGGAAGGGCATAGAAGTCATGGCTAACCTTAAAATATTCACCCCCCACTATGTATTCTAATAATTATTTTGGCCTACCATGTAAATTCTTTCAAGTCTCAAGCCAGAGCCACTTTTTAAGACCAACAGCATAAAAGAGCCAAGACAGAAATAGCTAACACATGATGAGTTGGCAAAGAAAGGCTGAATGGTATGGAACCAATGTGAATTTTATAAAAATTTATTTTTGTTAACTAATGCCAGGTTGCAATATTTCTCTAACCAAACAGAGTAAATCACATATTTCTACATAATCTTTCTCTTTATTAAATTGCTCTGCATATTTTCCTAGTTGTGCATGTCAATACATCAGTAATACTGAAAAGGAGACAAAATAAACAGCTACCATGATGGTCCACTCTCAGGAAATTGACATTCTGAAACAGAGAGAGCCCTGGAACATAAAGAAAAGGAGCTGCCAGATGTGACCACAGCATTTGGGGTCAGATTCAGCACTCATTCTTCAGGCTTATAACTCCTATTAGTTAAATGACCTTAAACCTTCCCAAGCCTCTGTGGTTTTTAGCTGTCAATGGAGATGGATCAAAACTTGTATTTGCATACATTATTTCATTTAAAATATTGTAGCAACCCAGTGCAGTAGGTTAAAATTATAACACTATAAAAACACAAAATAGCAACATATCTGCATTTCTACTCTATAATAGAAATAGATTTTCTATTTTTAAAATAGATCTAAAAATCTACAGTTCTAAAAAAAGGAATACTTTTTCCCTGATAACTTAGAACATCTGACTCTGAACATAAAAATCTGCAAAAGCTGACAACCTGATATCTAAAATCACACCCTGAAACAGGACACCAGATCCTTTTCCCTCATGACATGATGAGGTGCAGGTTGGGAGACCTAAGGGAAAAGGAAGAGTGGGTCTCCGCTGTCATCACTCCACAGCTTCACACAGCAGCAGGGACCAGCAATCCTTGGGTGACTACTGGAAAGACAATGAGGTGACATGGCCATCTGAACCATGCATACACTAGAAAATCTTGATCCACAATACAATGTTAGATTATGAAAAACACATAGAACAACTGGAACAGATAACTCAGAAGGTCTATCCCAACTCATCTATGATTCCACAGTTCTCATTTCTACACCCACCCAAATTGAGATTCATTCAAGTTAAAAGCCACTCAGTGGAAATGTACATGAAAATCTATCATCTTTCCTCCCGAGCAGGAGCTGGAGTAGGAAACAAGTCACTCTGTAGGGACAGAGGGTGACAATGAAACCAAAAATACGAAAACAGCTAATGTGCTCAGGAGAGCTTGGAAAAGGAGCAGCTCACTTTGGGATTTTAGATAACATGCAAGTTCTAATAGTGTGTTTTCAGACACACAGAGGTAAAGCTGGAGAAGATGTCAGTCTCATGGAAAAGGAAAGATGGTCAGTCAGGGCTGTGTCCAATATTAAACAGAGAGCTCTGAAAATTGTATGCTTTGCATTATTCTACAAAGGTGACAAGGGAATTCTATCTGCTTTAATATATTTTTCCTGTCAAATTAATATTCAGTAAAACAGGAACCATAAACTCGAAAGTTTTTAAGCAGTAGTGGCTCCATCCTTCACTTAATATAACTGTCCTCAATTATTAAATCAGACTTAGTTTAGCCAGAATAGATGAAAGGTATTTAATCTTTTGTAGCAGCCAGATTTATCATGACTTTGGAACTTTTTTTTTTTCCGGTACCAGGGATCGAACTCGGGACCTTGTGCTTGCGAGGCAGGCAGCAGAACCACTGAGCTAAATCCCCGGTCCAACTTTGGAACTTTTAAAATAGATTACCATATTTTTCAGATTTCTAGTTTATTTGCTTATTTTTACAACACTAAGTGTCATGTTAGTTATCCTAAAACAACTAACAAAAATATCACACATTCTCAGAGAAAAATTCTAGAACAGAAATAAAAAGGTTTCTGAATAGAAGAATCTTGTTTAACAACTTTTGGTCCATTTTGAAAGTTTCTTTTCATGAACTCAAATACTGAAGATATCTAAAAATTCCAAAATTTCTCCTAAAATAGTATTTTTTAAAAAATAATTACAACGAAAAGAATATTTCTTCCATGACTACTATAGAAATATGAGAAGTCTCTACTCTTTACTTCTTGTGGGGCCAAGTTACATTCTCTCTTCAAGCCACAAAGCCTATGAACTTCCCATGAATACATCACTAACCTCATGTCATAAGAACTAAAACACCAGTATGGTGTATAGCCCCCTGGATTCCAATCCTGATTCAATTTCAGAATCATGGGGGATTTTTAAAAATGATGCCAAGCCCCACGTCAGACTCAATTCATGTGAGGCCAGGCCCAGGCGTCACTATATTTTAAAGCTTCCCAGTGACCAGAACAAATGGCTACTGTAACTATAATTAATTTTTCTCCTTCTATGTTTCACTGGTAGTGCATATCATTTAAATAAGTCACAATGTTTTTGGCTATTTTTCTCACCAATATTCGAGGTATGTTGAAATTTTATTGTTTCCTGTACTTCTACCTCAGGACTTTCTAAAAAAATAACAAATCTAACATTTTTTCTCCTTTTTTATTGCTCCTGCCATTGGGTAAATCTTTCCCCTTTTCTTCCATGAGAATGTTGGCCAGCGAGGCTTCCTTGTACCTTTCCATGTCAGTCAGGCTGAGATTCTTGGCAGAAAGCCCTGCAGAGGCTGCAGGGCCCCAAAGCAAGCCTTGGCTGAAAGCACTGACAGTCTAGGTAATGCACAGGATTTTATATTCAAAATACAAAAATTCCAACAAAGTGGAGCAAGATGGGCATCACACAGCCTGGCTTTCTGTGGTTTTTTGAGCATTCTAAGCAGAGAATAGGAACAAAGTGCTTATGGGCTATAAAGATACCTCTTGCATGATTCCTCCCCGCTGCCCTTCACCAACACACCCTCCTCCAAGGAAGACGAAAAAGGGAAAGAACAGTTGTAGAGAGCCCCAACTTTGTATCTGGAAAATCCTTTTGGACTTTGTAAATGTTATTGGTATTATTCTGTAGTAAAAGATGGTATGTTGACACTTTATACTGTGCATGTAGAACTTTCTAAATAAACAGGAAAACACTCAAGACTCAAAACACTGGCTCAAGATAAACTCTTACCTGGAAAGATGCTCAGTCCTCTGTTTACTTCCAGGCTAATGATCAGCGCTTGAGCTGTGATACTAAAGATTTGTTGGGGTGCAAAGTTTAAGCCATCAGTAACCTGAAAATTAAAGCCTCCTGACATTGCTCCTTCAAAAGAAGAAATTACACTCTGGTTAATTTGGTTGCTCTGCAGAAGCCACCCACTTTCACCACCCTTCCCCCGACAGGACCCCTGTAAAACAACCCCTATGTTAATACAACACTAGCTCATTGGATCAAATACAGTCATGTGCCACATAACATTTCTGTCAACAATAGACCACATCTAGAACTCCATCCCACGACATTATGTGTATCATCAAAAGACATCAAAGCCAGTCTAGTTTGTGCAAATATACTCTACAATGTTTGCACAATGATGAAATTGCCCTGTGACTCATTTCTCAGAGCAACTCTAACATTAAGTGATGAACAACTGTATTGCCAGACACAACATTAAAACATATCAATGAAATACTCAAATGCAGCTTCCCCAATCTCACAATAAAATGTAACAGATTTTATCTCTAAGAAATTTTTTAAAAGTTTTGAACATATCCTTCACCTGAATTTTATTATTTATAATCAATTTATACCAGTAAAATAATGCTTACTGCAACACACAAAACACATACACACACACACACAAATAATTTTTGAAATCTTAGTAGCACTGAAAATCGAAACTTAGAAATTTAGGAGGACCTAAATAATACTCATCACCCTCACCAAAGAGTTACATCTTTAATTATGTATCTATCTCAAGCTAACTATTCTGATAAGAGGGGAAAGGGAAGGGATTAAAAGTCTTGCTTTCATTACATTTCTGCGAGGAGAGAATTCCACTCTCTCACTTCTGTCAAGAGATTGGTGATATCATTAAAGTTAACAATTAACTTATGTGCATAACTGAAATTGAGATGGATCCTTATTGATTCAGTTCCCAGGGGTGCTTTACCAATCTGACTCAAAGCACTAGGCAAGACCACAATGCAGAGAGCTCAAGGTTCACATCACATCCCCATCACCCTTTGAAAACGTTCATCCAGCACTAAATTGGGAACCCCACAGGCCTTTGTTCTTGTACCGGGTAGAAATACATCTTTGCTCTCCTCAGGAACATGTCACAAGGAATAAAAGAGGCATGGCCGAGTCCATAATTATGAATGAGTACACCCTTAATAACACAATTTAATAAGAGGTAGATCAATAGGTTGACAGTATTTTGTTTCTGTTATCTAAGCAAACCCTGAGAGTTCTGATTTCTCACCAAAAAGGTTGCTAAATTTTTCCCAAAATGAAAGAGAGAGTGAGAGAGGGAGAAAGAAGAGAGAAGAGAATGCCGAGTCTAATTCAGAACAGGGGTCCACAACCAAATGTTGTTTTGCATTATTTATTTTTCTAGAAAGAGTACTTTAAAAGTTGTGTTTAATAAAACATGAAATTAAGGAAAGAAAGTGTTCTACCATTGGGCACTTTGAATAAAGTGCCAAAAAAAAAGATAAGGAAGAAAACACAAAAACAAGAGTTGACCTGTGGATTTTCTATTGTACAACCTCAATTTTTTTCCCCAACAGTACTTTCAGAAGGGCAATGGTGAATCATTTAGCTTCCTATCTCTTGGTTTTATAAACATGCTTAAGTTGTTATGTGGAGAGTGAATTGGATTAATGGCAGAGCACTTTGCTAAGAGAGGCTAATTAAACCAAAGTCTTTGTTTGGGGCTGTTGATGGACAGATGTACATGGAGAGCCAGCTGGTTTCAGCACCAGATTCATCTGGCACTTGGCTCCAAACACTCAGAGTTATCAGCTTGCCTCAATATCCATTTAGGAAATGTAATGGATTGGCTCTCATGTTAACCTTGTCTTTAACGCTCCTTCCTGCTTTCTGAGGAGAGATTATTTTCCCTACTCACCAAGCAGATATTGTTGACCTGGTAACTGATAAACCAATCAATCCAGAGACCTAATTTTTATTTTAATCCTTCATTGTAAAAATCCCTCAGTTCTTCAACCTGCTCTGGCCTTCAGTAGGTTGGAAGTAATGAAGAAAGTCCAGCTTTAGGGTTAGGCCAATTTAATCTTTGTGAGACTTAGTTTCTTCATCTTGAAGATGGGGTCATTATTCTTTACTGCTCAGAGAACTTCTGGAGATGAAATTAAGTTTTCTGCAGTGCTTGACAAATCCAAAAAGAATCAGTGACTGCTTTTCAGAATAGACAGTATAGCTTTAGAAATTCAAAACTTCCCTTGTACAAGTCTCTAGAGCAGTTGTCTCCACCTACAAAATACGACAATCCTTTCATAAAAAGGAAAAAAAACTTTCTAGACACCTAAAAATAGCAGGACTTTTGGTATCTTCTATTGAAGAACATACATAATTAGAAGAAACTATGCCTTTTAAAATAAATTGTATTTGGGCCAGGGATTTAGCTAAGTGGTTTCACCGCCTGCTGCGCAAGCACAAGGACCCGAGTTCGATCCCTGGTACCAAAAAAAAAAAAAGATTCCATCTTAAAATGAATTGTATTCAGTTGATCAGCACATCTGTACACATTTTAAAATAGAAACACACATGTGTATGGTTTTGGTTTGGTTTTTGATTTTTAGAGAGTCTCTATCCAGCTCAGGTTAGCCTCAAACTCTCTATGTATCCCAGCCTAGGACCTCCTGCCTCCATTTCCCAAATGCTGGGATTACAGGAATGTGCTCAGCACATGTGTGTTAAAATATTATCCAGTCTAAAAAATGATGCTTTGACACATACTTGGGTAGGTTTAGGATCATTTTGCAATAAATCTAACCCTACATGTCCTGGGCTACAGGTTTAGAACCACTAGATGGGAACATTCACAGAGTAAATTATTTTCAGATTCTTTGGGGGATCCTTTGCATTACGTCCAAAGATAATCAGGATATTACTACATTTGGATTTAGAAGATGTGTTATTTTTATATTCTTTACTATATTTTTAAGGAGGATACTTAAAAATAACTGAGAAAGCTGGACATCTTAGGTTTTGGATCATGCCCTCCTGTCTCATGCTCTTTCCCACTCCTCCTGCCAGCTGCTGCCGCCCTCCATCCACTGACAAGGGCAGCCTGAAAACAAAGCCAGGCTGCCCTTGCAAAGTGCCTGGACCACCCCTTCTGCAGATTTCCCACTAGCTGTTTGGCATATTGATTTATGGATGAACAAGAAAAGAAGAAGAAAAGGACATTCAACATCAGGATCTCTTAGAATTAAAGTTGTATGCCTTCCTTCCTTAATTCTTGTATTTATTTCTTGAACAGATATGCTTTTTTCACCAATGCATCCCTACCATCTGGAATGTTATCACCAGATATATAATAGGTATTTCATTATTTCAACCAAATTTTATTTATTAAGCACCTACTGTGTTCTAGTAACTGTCCTAGGGGCTGAGGATACAAGATATCCTATCCTTACAGTATTTATACTGTGATGGGGAAGAACAAACAATAAACCAACAGCCAAATCAATCTATGCTACACTAGGAAGGAGGGAAACTGATGAAGAGTGACAGAAAAGAGAAGCTGTGTTAGTGAATGATTAAGAAAAGGCTCAAAGAGGAGGTGTCAGACTTTACATGACAATTTGTGTAAGTCCTATGGGAGTCAAAGGTACTCTGGTTTGCTATTATTGGCCTGACTAAACATGTCACTTTTTAATAATTACAGAGCTTGGAAAGCTTCTCCATGGTATGTGGTTTTCACTCAGCAACTCTCAGTTATGACCATCACATTAACCACTGACTGAAACACATTTTAGTTTTACAGTGCTTTGCTCTGTGACTTTGTTGACATTATCTTTTTTAAAATTATTTTTTATGAGTCCATGTTTGCAGTTTGGGAAGTTAGTACATGTACATAACACACCTTAATTATTTTTTTATCTTCTTCCTCTCCCCACTCCACCTTTTGACTTACCAGAGTGTTCAAACACCACCTGGCCCTCATTGATTTGAGCCTGGGTGAAGTTCTGGATGCTTTCACCAGGAGAGGACTTCAGAGCCAGATGCCCATTGCTAGGTGGAGTGACCCAGTAGACTAGATCCTGCAGGGAGGAGTCTCCATCTTCTGCACACAGGTCACCTCTGGTTATCTCAGTGACAGAATTCACCCACACCTGAAAAAGAAGGTGCTCACAGATCTTCTGAGGACCAACTGTAATCACACAATCTTAGTAAATGGGATAGCTAGGACACCCTGGCACCTTGCACAAATATTTTAACTGAATCAATTCACCAGAGGTTTGAAACAGATACATAATTCAAAACAGACACATAATTACAAGCTAAATGCAATGCAGCACATTTAATTTATGAAGTTTATGAGGCTTCAAAAAAGTATATTTATTCAAAATTAATTATTTAAAGCACATATAAGAAAATGGACTATATAGTCTGTTACAAAGTCAAAACACTATAAAAAATGGGGAATGTTAAATAGGAGGCTCACTGGATGAAAGTCTGAAAGAGGAAGAGGAGGAAGACGGGCCATGTGAACATGTGAACACCAGGTCACTTCTCACCCAGCTCCCTGTGTTGATTCCCCATTGCACTCAGGGACAAGCCAGAGCTCATCAGTGGTATTCAAGACCCTGAATAATTTGACTTTCCATTATGTTTTTGCTTCATCATCTTTTACTCTTCATCTCGCTTATTTTGCTCTCACCACACCACACTAACCTCTGACGCTGCTGACCCACAGTTGAGGCCACTTAACCCCACCATAGGGCTGTTTCCCTTCTCTGTCTGATTCTTCCCTGGATATTCACATTTTTAGTGTCTTTCTGGCTTCTGTTTCAAGAACACACTGTGAGTGGGGACATCTGTTAGTGGGTGATGACAACAATCCCAGAGAGAAACGAAAGAAGAAAGTAGCCAGAAATTGCAGGGGTGCTGAGAAGGGGTCCAGTTCCAGGTGTCTGTTGAAGGTGAAGCCAACAATGTCTGAGGAATTAGGTGTGGGAGGTGTGCAAGAAGGGAAGGTGACAGGAATGACACCATGGCTAGGGCCTCAGTAACTGGGAGTTCCCATCCATTAAAATGAGGAAGACTGCAGGTTGGCTGGATTTGAGGAGTAGGATCAGGAGTTCAGTTCTGAATGTGTTGAATTTCAAATGCTCCTTTGGACAGTGAATCACATCTGATGTAATGAGGCTGTTCTGAGTTTCTATAATCATGTAGTCACATGATACTTCACTAACACTAAAAATAAGTGGTTTTATCAGTAACTCAATTTTCACATTTCTATTTGTATTTTTTTCTTACTCAGAGAAACACTATGTGCACATTTCTGAGTTCATGTATCATTCTCTAGAATCTTATCCTCTTCTATGCTTTTTACCAACACACTTAAAATTTCAACTCTAAGGCATTTAGTAGATAAGATGCCTGGTTAAAGGGAACTATTTTTCTCAAGAAAACAGGCAGTTTGTGACATAACTTAATCCACACCTGTTTGACATCTATTAACTAAACACAATTTTGAGACAGCGAGATCAGCAGGTGTACAGGATTCCTATGTTCTTATATCATATATGATGGAGCTACAAGACAAAAATCTGCTCTGATTCCTTTTAATGCTCCAACTACTGATAACATACGCACACACAAAACGGCTTTGTGAATCACCTCCTAACTTTTTGAAAGTTAACAGCTGCAATCATAAAGTCACTGAACATAACTAAACACCCACACATTCCACATAGGTACACAAACACACACACACACACACACACACACACACACTAGAACTTACACATCCAGATGAATGTATAACTCTTCAAAGTCAAAGTAACCATGTTGAAGAAGCACACATGCCAATAACAATAGCACTGCTCAAATTTTTTCTTTTGAAATTATTTTCAGGTTGTTCAAGAACATTTGACCTGCTTTTATCAGTGACTCTTTGAGTTCAAGTCACTGCTTTGCCACTTATTAGCTATGTAATTAATGTTGGGCACATTTCTTAACTTCTCTGGGCCTTACTTATTGATAAATTAGGAAAGATGGAGTTATTACATTCATTGAGTGTTGTGTTTTGTTTTGTTTTGCTGGTGTGCTGGGGACTGACTTCAGGGCCTCTCACATGCTAGACAAGTGTTCTACAACTAAGCTACACAGATGTGACTTTTTAATATTATTTAAGTTATTCTGATTGTGATGATTACTACTACTAAGGCTGTTCTGTAACACATGCTACAGATTTTTTGTTTAATTCCAAGCATCCATAATGGGATGAGTAGTTTATCTGTTAAATGATTGCGTCGGATGGATGCTCCTAATCTTTAATTTGGAATAGGCTCACTGAAGATTTTCAGTGCTAAGCTCTAAGGATATCAACTCTTTAACAGCTACCAGAAATGCTAATCAACTTAATATTCAAATTATAAGGTTTTAGCCTTCATTTAACACAGTTTCTGCAAAATATACAAGTTGGCCTGTTTAAAAAAATACCAAGCCTACTCATTTTGGTCTGTCACTTTTTACATTTTAAAGTCCATCTCTGTTTTATCCTTATTTTGTCAGGAGCTCAAACTGAGTTGGAAATGTGCTGCTATTTTTCTTTCTATAGTAGGCACTTACTTTTTCAACACTGAGCATAGGAGAGCTGGACAAAGCACGTTTTCCACTGAGTTGCTATACTGCAGAACATGGCTTTTCCCCTTCTTACCTCTTCCAAAACAAATGGAAATCCTGACACTAAAAGCAGGAGGTGGTACTCTCAGGTCTTCATTTCAACTCAAATCAAATTTAGTTCAATCAACAATCTCATTGCTTTAGGGGAAGTCTGAGTTAATGAATGCTCTGTGCTTGGTAACAGAAACTTCAGGTGGGTGCTGGGAAGTGACAACCCCTTAGAACTTGAATTCAGATTTTAAAATAATTCAAAAGTGTTTCAAAGAATAAATATTTGAAAACACTGGTATTTGAATCCAGAATAATCTATTTCTTGAATTCACCTTTAGCTTTATGAGGAAATAGGTGGGATTTAGAAATCTATGAGTCAATTTAATTCAAATTATAATTGTAATGTTTAAAGAAAAAGATTTTGTTTGACTTTAATAGGAAGGATGTGAAATTTTCAAGAATTCACTGTCTTACTGTTTGACTCCTTTAGAACTTTAACTGTTATTTCAGGTTTTGCAGCCTTACTTCTTCCATTGTGCCTGGTTCTCAAGTTCTGTTTAGTGACAAGCACTTACCAAAAACAAGTAGATCTCCAGGGTGTGTAGCTCAGTGGTAGAGAGCTTTCCTAGTAAGTGTGGGGCCCTGAGTTCAATAACTTGCACCTCAAGAACAAACAAAAAAACAAGAAAATGATCCTATTTTCAGTGTAAAAACAAGAGAAAATATACAGTATTATAGAGATATGGTACTTGAAAAATAGGAAAATGAAGCCCCCTTGTGGACACAAATATATTTTATCAGGTATGCATAAAAATTGATGGCCATGTTTGAACACAAAAGTATTCAGTAGAATATATTTCAGAGTAAAATCCAAAGGATTCATCCACAATGGCCTAACTCCAATTCCTAATTCCAGGACACAGTTATCCCCCATAGCATTGAATGGTCTTAGAGATAGCCGAAAGTCCTGTGGCTTAAAAAAATGTTTTCCTACTTCAGTAGAAAGAACTGCACATGAAATACTGGGAAGAGATGCTAATGTTCAGATTTCTGGCCATAAACTCCCATGCAGAATGTGAAATGCTACTAGGGGCTCTATCGCCTCTGCTTCTCTGAAGTAGACTGCAAGTGGATTTTCCTGCCACCTCCTCCAGGCCTTAGTATTAAGTAAGGAGACTAAATGATGATGCAAGAAAATCTGATGGTCTTGAGAAAATGCTGGTTTAAAACCAGAGATAGCATAGCATCTGGAGGCCTCATGGGAGTCACATTTGCAAAGCTGCCTTTGCTCCAGATTCTGCCACTGTCTGTCTTTGCAGGCAAGTCACTTATTCTCTTTAGCTCTAACTCTGTCTTCTTAAATGGGAATAAGAAGCAACTAGCAACCATAGCTTTGGAGAAACTATTATTGAAAATGCACTCTCTCAGCTCTGTTACTTTGATAAAGTAAATATACTTTATATGTTAGCTCTCAGAAAAATGTTAATAAACTTGACAGTTCTTTAATAGTATTCAAGGCTATCAATTTATGAAAACTCCCTGAAATATGAACAATAGGCACAGTCTTTCCAAGAAGTTTTTATGTGCATTTGCCATTATTATATATTCCAGTGCATTAGACAGAGATCTCATATTCCAATTAAAAATTAGGAGCTGAAAACAAAAGGATCTCTTTGATGTTATAAACCACTCATAGAGACTTTCAAAATTATCAACATCAACTGCTGGTTGCTTCTAGGCACTTTTTCAAGTCAAAACTATGTTGAGATTAACAGTAGACAATGTGATTATATTACAGAGTTGCAGTGCACAAAACTACATATTCCTAAAATTCTTTAAGCAATGTCATTCACACTATATTATAAACCATAGGAAAGAAATATTGATATTATATGTCTTCATCTATGTCCCTTTTTCTTGGAATATTTGAAATTCTATGATTTATTTTTCTTCCTTCATTATCATGACTTTGGATGACAACAGCAGTCCACAAAGTGAATCAGCCAGGTTTATGGACAGTGTAACTGGCCCTTCCACCTAACCTCCTTTCCTGCTGAAAACAACAAGTTCAGTAGATGAGTTTCTGGCACTTGACTCAACCCATAAAAGGACAGTGTACCCAGAAATAGGAAGAGGAATGGGGAAAAGTGATTCATTCATATAGAAGAATGTAGCTTTGCTAGATCTGTGGCTTACAATGTTTCTTTTTTATTAACATCCAAAGTAAGGAATATATTTTTTTCCTTAAATTCTTTTATTGGTACATCTTAGGTATACAATAGATTTACATTTATCATTGGGTACTTGTACCTTTACATGATATATCTTGGTTCTTATTTTTTCCCCATTTCCTGTCCTCCCTACACCCCCTCCATCCTTCCCTATTTACAAATATTTTGTTTCCATTGTAAGGAATATATTTTATATAGTAACTTAGTACATGGATGTTTGTGTGTATGTGTTTAAAATCTAATGTACAAATAAATCAAGCAAAAATTTCAGACAATACTCTCATTAAATACAGCGCATTGTGATACAACTATTTTTTAAATTTTATTCCATTTAATCTGTGTTTAAAATATTGGTCCTGATCTATAGATTACAACTTGCAGTTTTGAAACACTGTTCCAGTGTGGATAGCAGAAGGTGTATTCTGATCAGGCCACCTGGGCCCCAAACCCATTCTCTTTTACTAACTGTGTGGCCTCAGTCTAATGACTTAATCTTTCTATGCCCTGAATCTACTGCAATCTTCATTTCACTTCAAGAGTCATGGAGAGAATTAAATGAGAAATCATTTCATCATTCATGTGATACTTTTAGAACTGAGCCTAACTCATAGCAAGGGTTCAGTACATACTGGCTGCTTCCCCATAATTATCTCAGGAAACCTAATGGCACAAAATTGTGTAGCACCAGGTGGGCCTTATGCCCAGACATAAAGTCTCACCATGGAACTGAATATCTATCATTCTTCTCCTCTCTCCATCTGCTCCAGGTACTCCAAGTTTTTCATGCCTTCAGACACTGCAAGGGCTCACTACAGACCTACTGCCTTAGTTCTGAAGTATTCCTTTTCCAGGAATGTTCTTCCTTCTAATATTCATAGGAATGAATCATCTACCCAAGCCCACCTTTATTGAGAAAAGGGTTTGCAGCAAGCTTAAAATAGCCATTCCCTAGAAAGATCTGCTTGTAAGGATGGCCCTTCACTGTCATCTAGGAACTGGACTATTAAACAGTTTTCTACATCGATGTTAAACGTCTTCTAAATGGTGAGAGAGCCTCACTGTGCCTAAAGTGTATGTACAATGTAGTGCATGTTGGACACCTGCTTTCCTTCTGGAAGGCTGGGATCTTAGTACATACTAGGCAGAGTGCCTACCTAATCAGCTCCCTATAAAAATTTTTGACACCCAGTATCCAATGAACTTTCCTGATAGAAAACACTTTGCATGTGTTGTTACCATTGCTGGAGCAATTACACTCACCCTGCATGACATCACTGGAAAAGCACTCTCAGACTTGACCTAGTTTCTTCTGTACTTCACACTATATGCCTTTTCTCTTTGCTGACTTTCATATTTCTCATGGTAATAAATCTAAGCCATGAATATGCTACATCCTCTGAGTCTTTGTAAATCAATGAACCTGGAGGAGGTCTTGGGACCCCTGATATACAAGCCTCCTTGCAAATGTCCCCTCCTGACAGAGTCCCTTCCTAACCACCTTTTCTACAATATTAGTATTCTCCAATCCCAATCCTTCTCTATCCTCATAGTGTTTTTCAGAAAGTACAGCAGACCATCCCTCCATTGATAACGTAATTTTATTGATGACCTCACTGAACATAAGCTCCATGAAAGCATTTATTTAGCCATTTAAGGTTTATTGAGCTCCTCAGGTACTATGCCAGGCACTGATGATATCAAAGAGAAAAGACAGGTAGACTCCCTCACAAATACACCTTACATTTATGGGGGAAGAAAGACGATAGATTGTTTAATATCAGAAAGTAGTAGGCACTAAAAAGAAAAAATTGGATCCAGGGACAGTAAACAGCACAATGCTCTTTCCTCTGGGGTAGCCAGAGAAGGTCTCTTTCAAAGCATCCATCCCATCTAGAATTCTGGGAAGCCATAGTCCAAGCAGGCTTCCAAGAGGTGGTAACATATCTATGCTTGAGAGAAGACATCTAACTAAAATCTGAACCATATGACTGAAAATCAATAAAATCTCAAACAGTCACAATTTAGACAAAGGAAAAAAATCATGTTTGGCAAGTGAGCCAAAACACCTTGGTATGAGAAGATTTTCACTGGATACTGCACCATGACCATTGCCTGTAATTGAAGACACAACTTCTTGGGATTTTTGTCCATTTTAAAATAATCAAACAAGTCCTACCAAAACTACTTCTACATCTGTACATAACTAGATAGCGTGCTGTGATGATTAAGATATTGTTAACCTGACTGGCTTGGAAGCCCCAGGAATTAGTAACACAAGCTTCTGGGTATCTCTGGGTGGGTCATATCCATGGGCTCTGTATTTGGTCCCAGACTCTTTCCTCTCTGGCACTGTTTCCCTGCTCTGTTTCCTGCTGCCATGAACTAAGCATCTTTTTTCCACTATGCCTTTCCATCATGGTTATTTCTGCCTTGGACCCAGTTGACAATAGACTGAATTCCCTGAAACTGTGAGTCAAATTCAACCTTTCCTCCTTTAAATTCTGGGTGTCAGGTATTGTATCTCAGCAATTGAAAAGCTAATACACGTATTCTACAGTAATACCTAGCCCCTTTTAGTCTGACTTTTCTTCACTTGATCTTAGCCAAAAGGCCGAGAAGCGATAGTCTGACTTTTCTTAAATAAGTGTTACATTCTTAAATATAAAAACTTGACCCGGGGCTGGGGATTTAGCTCAGTGGTTCCACCTCCTGCCTCGAAAGCGCAAGGTCCCAATTTCCATCCCAGTACCGAAAAGCAAAACAAAACAAAAAAACTCCACCCAGTCTATAGTGAATGAATCCAATATAAAATGGCAACACTATAGCTTCTCCATCTGTCCAAGTCAAGCTGAAAAGAACCATAGCAAGAGAACATCAAGCAAGTTTTCCCATGATACAATCACCGGGGATTAGAACAGGGAGGAACTGAGCAAAAACCAAGGAAAACAACCTATTCCCCTACAGTTTTGCTATTAACGAAAGTGAAACCTATAGAGATATTACCCAAACTCAACTGACCAGTTTGCAAATCTTAAACTCTAGTACCCTAATTTTCTTTTTTTCTTTTTTGGTACTAGGGATCAAACTCAGGTCCTTGCACTTTCAGGGCAGGCAGCAGAACCACTGAACTAAATCCCTGGCCCTCTAGTACCCTAAATTTAATCCAAAACCTTCAGTCCTTCAAAGAACATTTTTTAAACCAGATAAATGAATGAATGAACTCAGAAAGGGACAATGTGAATGACATATCCATCAAAAGTGGGAAATTGTATACTTGCTGGCCTAGATCCAGCCTATTCAGGGAATAAGGTAAAAATAAAGGAAGTGGTCCTCCCACCCCAGATACTTTGCCTCTATTTCTTTTTTTCTTTTTCTTTTTCTTTTTTCTTTTTTTTTGGTACCAGGGATTGAACTCGGGATCTTTCTCTTGCAAGGCAGGGGGCAGAACCACTGAGCTAAATCCCCAGCCCTTGCCTCTATTTCTTTAGAGAGAACATTCTTCTATCAACATCAGAGGTAGGCAGTGAACCACTGAACAACCCTATGGCTCTGGACAGAGACTGAATTTCCCTAACTTTGGAGGAGAACAAAGACAAAGTCTATGATATTTCATTGAATTGATGGTGCATCTTAATTCCTTTCCACAAAGAAGCCTAAGAGTTGACTACCTTTTTCCTCAGTTCTCCCCCTCCTCAGCCAACTCTGCATCATCTCCCATGAGGTCTTGGCCTCTATTTCCTTCGTTTTTACCCTCCTCATCCTGCAGTTCTGCACCACAGAGCAAAGACCCAAAATCTTCTTGGGTTCCTGGGCAAACCCACATGTTGACACAGCTGCTATAGAACTAGACCCATAGCAGGAGCAAGGCATAACCACTTCGGCACTATTTTCTCTTTCTTTCTTTTTTTCTTTACCAATAAAGACATTCTTTGATACCATGGGTGTGCTGAATGAGCCTGAGTCAGTCAGGAGTTACAGGGAAAAGTGGCAGAGGATGGTGCTGAGAGTGGGAAGCAGACTTAGCTTCAAGTTCACTCCCTCCCTTGTAACCACTCTATGCGTCAATTTTCCCATTTTACAAATAAAGTTGTTCATGATGGCAGTTCCTGGACAGGCATGAGAAATAATACCAGTTACAGAAGATGCCCCATACTCAGTAGACACATAATAAATGCTAACTTTTATAATGTGTTTAAAGATTTTTTTTTTTTTTTGGTACTGGGGATCGAATTCAGAACCTTGTGCTTTCCATGCAGGCAGTGGAACCACTGAGCTAAATCTCCAGCATTCAAAGATTATTGATAGCTAAAACTCCTAATTTATGGTGCTAAGGATTGAATACAGGACATCACACATGCCAGGAATGTGTTCTACTGCACCCCCACACCCTGTATTATTTCCTAAGTGGCAAGAATCTAGACCATCAAGCCACAGAATGATGTGGCAGAAGGAACCATCTGTGGATGGTGTTGACATAAAGGAAAGGGCCTTTGGTGAGAGTGATGGCCAGATAGGTGATAGGAAGGGACACGAAGAAAGCAAGGGAAATACCAATAGAATATGAAACAGTGAACTCTGACCTTAATTTATGAAACACCATAGGGCCAATTAAATGACTGTGAGAGCAAACCCGGAGCCCACAGGGGGTGATCTAACTAGTACGTTTTTACATTGTTAAAAATAGCTGGGCTTTTAACATTTTTTTTTTTCATGTGTTCAAAATACTTGGATCTAGGAATAGGCTTTTTAGTGTGTTTAGTTATCTTAGAGCTTGTTTCATCACGTATTGTCTACATTTTATGTGGAAAATTAATAGTGTTTTTACCTTTGGAACTTGTCACTTTATAAGTTTGCTTTGTGTTCATTACCCGGGTGGTCCAGAAATGGTCTGTGCTATGTAACTAAGCTTGTGGCCCTCCTTTCTTTTCAGCTGCTTCTCTCCCTCTTCCCCACAGAGTCTTGCTGTGGTCATTCCCACTGAGCTCACTCTGCAAAGTCATCTGAGAAATAGGTAGTTGGCTAGGTTGAGGAATTTTGAAGGACATTCTAGATCTAAACCATAACGTCAGTCTTGTGAGTCCATACCCAAGTCCTTAGATGAAGGGTCATAAAGATAAAGTAAGTTAAAACCAAGGTAACCAAATAAATGGAAGCTTCAGGATATTTGAGTATAAACTGACACAGATGCTTATGTGGCAGGAAACGGGCCAGCGGTGCCAGAAGGCTACTGCATTTCAGCCATACAGCAGTCATAACTCTGGGTAATCATCAGATCAGGAGAGGAGAAAAAAGGCGAACACCTACCAGCCAAGAAATGTGCATCTGGATGCAAATCTCAGAGAGTGAAGGGGGTTGGAAGCTCCCAGACCAGAAAAATACTGCCTCATAACTATGCAGTGGCCTTATTTGATCCAAAAAAACTGGTATGGCCTATTTTTTTTAGCAAGTAGATCAGAATGCTAATCACATGTAAGCACTGTGTGCAAGCCTTTCATCGTGTTATAATTTAATTCTCACAACTCTGTTTTCATCTTCCTCACCCAAATAAGAACAAATTTGAGGGCTAAATGACTTGCCCAAGGTCACATGGCTAATGGTGAGGAGCCAGGACTCCCATTCAGATTGGTCAACTGCAAACCTCACTCTTAGCCATCCCATTTCTAGCCTAGCAGGAGCTTCCCTGTGCAAGACGTCTGTCGAGGCTCCCTTGAAAAGGGCATGCCTTGTGAGGATGAGAGTGGGGACCAATGGAGAAATGCAAAATGAAGGAAATCTATTGTGACTCCTTATCTCCTCCCAAAAATAACCAGAAGAATGTCCTGACAATAGCTAGTATGTATATAAAACAGTGGCACTATGCAAACTATATACACAAAGTCTTATTATTTAACATTAGAAAGAATATAAACGAAAATCAATTTAGCAGCTCTAAGTTCTCAAGTTAAGTCAAAAGCATATAGCACTCACCTGGAGGATTTTATTGACTATTATTTCTGGAGCTTCATCATTGACAGATTCAACAGTCACAAAAAGAGTTTGAGGCAGACTTTGTTTTCCAAGCTCTGAGCTATTTGCAAAGATGGTAAAATTGTCAAGCAGTGTCTCACTATCATCATGAACGTAGAAAATCGATTCATTTTCCACCTATAACCAACAACAACAAAATTGCTAACATGCTGAAATATGATTTTAAAATATGAATAAATTGTTATCAAAGGAATCCTAATTTTAAAAATTGCTCTAAAACACAGAAGCATGTCCTCATCCCATGACGCTTGAGTCTGAACATCAGAAGGCAAATTGTGATAGACAGTATAGTTTTTCTGAAATAATACTGCATCCTAGAAATAAGTTTAAAGAGGAACAGAACAATTTAATAAAGAAACTGCAATACTGGTAATCAGAAGATTCAAGTTCAACTGCTATTTCTAACACCAAAGTGTGTTAGGAGTGACATAATCCAGCTTTTCTACTAACAGAACAACATGGTAAAACTCAGGCTTGATTTGCTCATTTAGAATGACTAATTTTTGAAGTTGTTGATCGTTTTCTTGGACAATTCACACTGTTAGATTCAGGCTTCAAAACTTCTCTCACTAATTGTATTTCTCCTTTTTGGAGACTATTAAGTTCCCCCAAATTTCTCTTTTCTCAGCAAAGAATGCAGTGGTCCCCTAAATGTTCTTTGCAAATGAGATTGCACTTGCTATCTCCTAGTTCTACTCCTCCTCTTTCTTAATAGTTTTTGTGTGTGTGCCTCCCTTAAGGGGTGTCTAAGAGTCCACCCATGGTTAGGTAACATACATCTCCTCTGAACAAACACATAAAATACACTGGAATCAAATTATTCTATCAAGGCAGATCTTCCTTACTCTAAGAAGCAGAATACAAATATTTACTTTTATCTTTGTTAGATTTCATCTTTTAAATTTTAATTCTTTTTTTTTTTTTTTGGTACCAGGGATCGAACTCGGGACCTTGCGATTGTGAGGCAGGTGCTGGAACCACTGAGCTAAATCCCTGGGCCTTAAATTTTAATTCTGAAATAGTTGTCCAATGACTTAGTTATTCCTCTTGGATTTGTAATAACCAAAAATTTGACCAGAATGTCTTTCATGTCTTTAAGACTGTGGTGGAAATACTGTAAAGCAAGGAATTTAAAACTAAAAGGAAAATTAGTTTCAGTAAGTCCGTGACTTAAACATACAATGACAGATAACTTCTAAACCCCAAAAGCAGTTGTGAACTTCTGAAAAAGTCTCTAGTATTGGATTTGTTTTGATAAAATACAGCCAAATTTTTTTAACAATTCAATTTCACCCGTTCCCTTCAGCAAAGTTTTTTGATCTCTCCAAAATGTTCCTGACAAGATCTGACGAGTTCAGGAAAGCACTCAAAAAAACACTTGTGGCCACTTGTACACAAGTGCTATAAAAATTTCTTTGGAGTCCAATGGGCAAAAGAATTCCAGATCATAGACCTGACAACAGGCTCCTGGAACATGCTGTTTCAAACTATTAAAAAAATGTAAGGAGGCACTGATCAGAAATTGAGAGAAGTTTTAACTTTTAAGGCACTTTAGGAACATAATATTTAAGTAGCAATCATCCCCATGATTTTTTTTCCTGGGAAGTATATCATTTCCTTAGTAGAATGGCACTTTCCAAAATGACATATCATTTAATAGTATTAATGACAAGGCCGAGAAAAAATGTATTGGGGATTTTTCTATTCCTGACCTCAAAAATGTGAAAAAAAATATGCTGACTTAAAAAGAAAGGATACAACAAACTTGCAGAAAATTTTGACAGGTCCCCTGTCACCGGTCCTGTTCAGGGCATATTGTGCTGCTCTTCCACTTAGATCCTCCCAACCCCATTGCTTCCCATCTCCTCCCTCAGAGTCAAGACGAAGTCTCCAGCCCTTTCCTAATTTACCTTGTAACCTCACCTGCTATTCTCGCTATCATTCATACACACGCAGTTCCCTGGGTACTGGACCACAGGGAGCTGTCCAGACACCAGGTTGGCTTTCCACCTGCAGCTGCTCCCTTGCCCCTTTGCCTGAGTGCTCTTTCCTGCACTCAACTCACCCCTCCACTACCTACTCCAGGTGTCTGCTCAAATGCCACTTCTCAACAGGCATTCCTTGACCATGCTCTTAGAAACTGAACATCCATGTTTGTGCACTCACGTGTATATGTGCACACATCAATGAAGGCCCCAGCATTTCCTATGTCCCTTTTCTGATTTTTGTTATTCTCCATAGTACTAATCTTCATTCACTATGTCATTTTTTTCATATATTTATTTTATTTATCATCTCTCTCTGGATCCAACTGAAAAAAAAAAAACAAAAAAGCTCTACAAGGGCAGGGATTACTACCCGGTTGGTTCATCACTTGATCCCCAATACTTAGAATTGAAATCCCTGACACATAACTCGTATTCAGAAACTATCCAGTAGAGCCAGGGACTCCTTCTCCAAGCCATTAAAAGCTACAGCCACTGGTTTTTAAGGATTAGTTTCACTGTAAGTGAAAATGGCAAACCCGGAGATGTTGGGAGTCATATAGAAAGAAAGAGTGAGAAGAGGTCATCTAGAAAGCAGGAACAGGTGACCTTGACTTATATCTGTGTGATGCCAGAGATGCCCCAGGGAACATGTGTGCATCAACACACAGATTTCAATCAATGATCCTTAAATACCCACTTTTATGAGGAACAGTAAGTAATGGAATTGACCAAAATATTATCAAAATTTAGCATTTGGTCGCTCATTGAAACCATGAAAAAAGAAAGGATTAAATTCAACTCACACCTGAGCAGGTGGTTATTACAGGTAACTTGTAGAGCATTTAAGTGGGAAGCCATGATTAAGAGACCCTGCACGAGGTCACCAAAGAATCACCCTCTTTGGCTCCAATGCATAAAATCCTTTCCAACTCCCAGCATTCTTTGTTGGACCCATGGCTTCTTAAGTCATTCACTCACTTCTTAAGTAATTTAGGACAAGAAGTGAGGACTTTTCCAGTCTACCTCCAAGCATCACTGCTACTCCTCAGCCTCTTGGCTGCTTCTTCCCCTAGCCCTTTAAGACCTCCATGCTGCTGCCTTTGTTCACACTGCCTTTTCCTGGATCCTCCCCCTTCCCAGGTACCCCTGCTCTTCGTCTCTCTCTCCAACGTTTAGGTTAAACGTTATTTCTTTCTTTTTTATTTGTTTTGGTACTGGGGATTGAACTCGGGACCTTGCGCTTGCAAGGCAGGCAGCAGAACCACTGAGCTAAATCCCTGGCCCCTAAACATTATTTCTTAATGAAGACTTTCTTCTGTTCTTCCCTGTGCACTCCAATTCAAATCAAATGTGCCAATTCTATTCTCCCATAGCACTATTATGAAAATGCAAAATGAGAGGCAAGAAGAGAGTATCTTATATTAAAGTTGCTGTGTCTGGTTCCTCCATAGCATTTCTAGAGGGCAAGGAATATGTTTTATTTAGCATGGCAACTCCACCCAATAACTCAAACAGAGTAAGCCTTTAGTAAAGTTAATCAAATCAATGGATGATTTGAAATTTAATAGTATTACACACTTTGAAAGCAGATTTGTTACTTTCTCAAAATTAGAACTTTTTTTAAACTGCAAGTAATTGCAATGTAACTTAACTCTATAATTGTACTTGTTTTGTAATCACTTGTTTTAAATGGTCTAAAACAAAAATAAATTTATTCTAACTTGGAAAAAATTTTTAACATACAATTAAGTAGCACATATGTGTTCTTAGCTGACTAGACAAAGACATGCCAAAATAGTGATTGTTAATGGTTTCCAACCTGAAGAATGTATATTGCTAGATGATTATAAAGGAAATGATGGCAATCTACAAACTACTTTTCAAACTTTAAAAAGTAATGGAAATAATTCTTTTATTCATGATTAAAAAAAAGCAAAGTCTAACAAAAATACTGTTCTAGGCCAAAGCAAAAAAAACAATAGCAGCCTACAGTTGACCTTGGTTATTTTATGACAACTGGATGCTACAATGGCAGTTGTGTCCAGCTCCCAGATTCCAAGGACTGAGTCATTTTGAACAATGATAGCCCTATGCTTAGCATAGGCATGGCACAGAGTATGTACTCTGTATGCACACATTGGTTGAATGAGTAAATGAGTCACTGAAAAAAAATCACCAATGATTAAATATCTAAGTGTTACCCTAACATCACCAAGAAGGACAGTGACAATGTGGCATTCATCCAGATTTAGGTAAAATTAGGTAGCTAGGGTGGAGCAGGAAATGGCATATAGTTAGATGATAGCAAAAGTTAGATGATGAGCAGTGTTTAAACTAAAGAAGATAAAATTCAGGGGAATTTGATGACTTCTTCTTTCAAACATTTAAAGAGTTTTCATGAAGGAGGGTATGATTTATTCTGTGGGATAACAGAGCCAGGGCCTAGGAGAAGTTTCAAAGTGGCAGACTTCAGCTCAGCCTAAAGAATTAATAGTTGCAATGTTTCTAAACTAGAGGGCCCATCTTATGAAGTAGTAAGTTTCCCATCAATGAAGATATCTGAGCAATGATTGGACACTCTCTCTATGCGGACACTATAAAAAGGCTCCTAGTATCTGATGGGAGGTCAGACTAGATACCTCCTAGGTCCCATCATCCATGGGTCTAAATGATAAATACCAATTTTTTATCTTTTATCCAACATACCCAAATATATTAACTGAGAATTATTACCTGTTTCCTTGTAAATTTCATTAGCTTTACTCTTGGAAAGTGAGAACTTTCAACATAACCATGTTTTGGTGGTTCAAGAAGAACAAATTCACAGTCAAGTCCTTCAAAATATTTGCTTGGTATTTTGAGGTAGTCTTCCAGAAGTGCTTTGGAACCACCTTCTTGAACTGTAAAATTCTGTACTTCCAGAGGAATCAACTTAGGGACAATATCCAACAAGATTTCCAATTCACTCATAACTTGGGAACCATTTATCACGTCTAGGAGAAAATGGTCCTGCTTTTGGGCAGGAGCTGTCTGCACATAAAGGATATTGCCATTATCAACATCCTGGTGTGTAAAGCTCAAAGGGAACTTTTCATCAGAATTCAAGCTGCCTTCTTCTGGTATAGACTTTTGGAGGTATCCATGCATAGGTGGAGTTCTGACTATGAACACTGCCTCTGAAGGAATACTGTATTCATTTCCAGCCTTGAGTTCACATGTACCACACACAGGCACAAAAAAGAAAAACATATTAATAAATGTAAGAGCCAACACTACTGATAAGCCAAGATGTTTTCTACTAATGTCCACAAATGGCTTAAATTACAAGCAGACTTGATGCACAGCTTAAGCCTAGGTCTGATCTGCTGTCCATGGCAATATTTTGAATATTAGCCTCAGTTACAAAGAAAACAATGATCAACAACACTTGTGTAGCTACAAATATATTAACAAGGCATCATATGCAGCAACAAAAAAAAAATGCAAGAACTCAGAAATTAAGTGAAAGAAATAAATTGTAATTAGAAGTTAAAGGTTGTAAAAGAAACAGCAGCCGAATCACTAAAACTGCAAGGACATAGAGCAAATATTTTTTCTCACTTATTTCAATCAGCTCAGCATTTTCTATACATTTTAAAATTTATTGATTCAGCAGAATCCATCTCAAATCTGACTGCGACTGATTTAGTCACTGAAGAGCACATGCCCCCTTGTGGTGAAATGTCCACAGTAACTCTTCATTCACTCAAAACTAGTAAACTCACTCTGATTTGAATTCATTTCTATTTGAAATTATTGGGTGCATTTAGTAAACGCGTTTGCAGTCTTAAACTTAAATTCAGAGTAGCCTGTCTTTGTGGCCTGACCCTAAACAGTGTAGCCCTCCGAACTCTGATCAGCAGGGCTCTGCCTGCTAGAAGTTTCCAAGCAGAAGCCTGAGGAAACCAGGTGCTCTGACCTCATTCCTGGTATCCCACTGGTCTAGGTCAGTTTTATCTATCAAATTTCAGGAAACTAAACAAGGGCACATTCAGAACTAAGGAAATAAACTGTTATATAGTATCTTCTACTGTCTTAGAAATCCTTTTTATGTTTATTAAATTACTGCTTCATCTCTTCATCTCTTGAATATAACTCAGAAAAATGAAATATTGGCAGTGTTATTACTGCTAACAATGAATAAAAGTAAAGATCTCTTACTTTCCTATAATATATATTTTCCTTCCTTATTCCCAGTTCATAGTAGTATACTAAACACACATTCAAAAGAGTGCACATGTGAACACAACTTTAAAATAAGGCTGAACATTGCTTATGTGCCATTTCCAACCGTAGAAAAAAAGGTAGTATCACACTCATGAAACTTTCCCACATTTCTTCTTAATGGCATCCACATAACTTTTTTAAAACCTCACTCCTAATACCAGGAGAAAAATCAACACAAAAATATCTTTCAAAAGCAAACAAGTACACTATCATCCCCTGCAATTCTAAGAAAATAAGACTGCTTGGTGCTTAGGACGACACATACCTGGAGCCTTCTTATGCTCAGTTTTACTGGTTTTCCTTCTTCAACTATCAGGGTCTTTCTGTGCCAAACTTGACTATGATGGTGGTGATCTTCCAACTCTACTTGAACACAGACCCCTACTTCTAAGTATGTATCTTTAACTTTCACTGTCATGTTGAATATGTCAAAGTTGCCACTGCCATCATGCCTATAAGTCACATGTCCTGGCTTCAGGTCATGTTGAGAAAATGACGAGGACACAGAATTGTTGACCAGGACTCTGCCATGCTTTGGGGGCCACACAATGTGGAATTCAACCTCAAGGTCCGTTCTGACATCTTGATTTGTGGTGACACTCAGGTTAGCTGTTGTGAGGCAGGTGTCTTTTCCTCTCTTTACAAGAAGCCCCGTGTTGTTTGCTATCTGAATATAGGGGTCTGAAACACTGACCTCCAGAAGGGATGAAGTGTAATGAACACCATCTGTCACAAACAGCACAAAGCGGGCAGAGTCTGCACCTCGATGTCTGAAGAGTACCTGTCCTTCTCGCAGGTCCTCTTGTCTGAACTGGTAGAGTTTCTCAGTAGGGTTGCTAGCTCGCACCAAATCCCCATTTGGGATGCCCCACCGGGTGTACAGTAACTGCCCATCATCAAAATCTAAGTCAGGGTCATGGAAGCAAAGATCTTCTAGAGTCAATAAGCGCTGGCCATTCCGCACAACATGAAATGCCTTATCTACCACACGCACTGGCCGTTCATCATTTTTTAATTCAACAGAAATGTTGACTTTGATTTCTGTAGATAAGTGTTTCAAGTCAAAATCTTTGACAACTCCCTCTTGGCCTGGAGATACCACAACAAAGAAATCATCACTCTGGGTCTCAGAATCATCGTGAATATACATCAGCCGCTCACTCACTATGTCCTGATCAGTGAATGTAGTGATACTGTCATTACTTTCCAGGGTATCTGAAAAGCCAATCAATTTCAGCCTTCCATACTGAGGACTCTTGGTGACTTTATACTGGAAGATCTGATTGTCCCAGGTTTGAACAAATAATTCTGATTTTGTAATTAATTTTCCTTCTCCTTCTTTTACAAGTAATCCTCTGTTTGTTAGAATAATGCGCGTCTCATCTGCTTTCAAGAGTACTCTGAAAATATAATCTTTTGATTCAATGTGTTTTGCAACAATCAAAAATTTAAAAGTATCCTGTGAGTCTTCCTTTGGCCTCTCCAGAGGTTCATAACTTATTTGAGAGTCTGTAATATTTTTTTGGCTGAAGATTGAGGTTTTTTTTAGAATTTTATTGTCAAGTAGCAATTTTCCTTTCTTAGGTGGAATGAGTAATTTAAAATGTATTTCCCTCTCTGCTACTTCCACACCCTCTGTTGCAGCCTGTAAATGATCAGAATTCAATACCTCCTTGTTTATGGTACTGATCTCTAGAGGAACATTTTTCACAAGTGTAAATTTCAGCCATTGTACAGTCAGGGGAAACATGAGCTCTTTGCTGACTTTTCCTTCTATGTTAACTCTAAATTTAAAGTGATCCATAACATTTTCCTGCTGTAGTTCCTCGAATGTACTGTAGTATCGGACTCGACTCTTATTGATGGAACGCTGAGAAAAGCTACTCACTTGTTTCCATTCCCCACGTGACCCCCAACGCTGAATCTGGCCGAATTGAGGTGGGTGAGTGATGTCATAGTGAGCCTCCATTGCATGATGTTCACCATTAACCTCCACTGACAAATTACTCTGTGTAATCAAAACAGTGCCACCCTGCGGTACAACCACACCAGTTCTATTGACCACTTCAAAGTCCCAAGGAACAGCCATGACCCGAAACACCACTGTATTGCTAACCAGCTCACCATCACTTGCTCGCAGGACAACTCGAGAAGTTCGAAGCCCTCGGTGCACATAGAAAATGCTGCCATCTCTTAAATCCGTGTGTGTGAAGCCATTAATGGCTCTCCCAGGGTCATTGGCATTTTCTAAAAACCCACCATCTGAATTCAAGTTGCCAAGAACTGAAAAACTAAGACTCAAAGAATCCGTGTCAGGGTCTGACACCTGTATTATATTTGGAGTCAGTCTTTTCTTAGAGTTCTCCAACACAAGAAGCATGTTTCCTTTTGGGAGGTTCAGGTATGGGGGGTCATTCACTGGAATGATATTAATGTTAAATACATATGGATCATGGTCCTGCAGACATAATGGCATTTCATTCTTGCTATTGGAAGAGACCAAAAATGTGAAGTAATCCGTAGGTTCTTCTGAACCATCATGGACATACCACACTTTTCCTTGCCACAAATCTAACATAGTAAAAGCCTTCACCATTTCTTGCTCAGAAGAAACATCTAATTGAAAGAATCCATGAATAGGCATTTCCTCCATTTTAATCAGTATTTGAGAATAAATGAAAACCAATTCCTTACATTCTATATTCACCTTCATATGCCTTTGTTCCAGTAAGGCTCGTCCACCTTCTTGAACCTCCAAGCTATTCAAAACCAAAAGAGAGCTACTTTGATCTTGAAAAAAGGGCTTGATAGCACCAGGGACTATGGTGGAATGCAAAGTCTCTGACTGAGGCAGATTTGCCAATGTTGTAACAGAACGATGTCCATTATCAGTGCTTTCAGTTTTGCACCCTGCAGAAATATCTTTGGAAACAAAGGCATCCCTTAATGCTCTCTTTTGTGAGTTTGCTTCCAAGCCTTGTAAGCAGCCTTTCAAAGAGATTCCTCGAGCAGATTTCCTAGGCACAGAGGCAAGGTCTAACATCTTCACTTCTTCCCACATTTTGTTATCAAGACCTCCTATAAAGAGGGGACCTTCGGATACAAATGGCTTACTTTCCAAAGGCAGCAACATCCTTACTCCTTGCTCATCTACCACAAGGTCCAGATACCCTCCCATGAACTGGAGTTGAATAGTGTGCCATTTGGTGTCACTAATTAACACAGAAGAAGACAGCTCAGTTTTACTTTTATTCCTTCCTATGTGAACCTTCAACAGACCTTCATGTATTTCCAAGGCAACAAAATCTCCATCCTTACCTGACTGAAATAAAAGCAAGGCTTGCTGATTCCCAGTTTGCAAAGCAAATTTCAATACTCCTCCCCTTTGCACCTTCCACTGTGGAAAGGTGACATACGATCTAGAGCTAAAGAAATTGATGGCTTCATCCTCCCCTGCAAAAAACTCTTCATTGCATCCTAATGACACCTCATAAACTTTCTTAAAACCGGGGTAAGATCTAAGGGACATCAAGATCTCCCTACGGTTAAATACCACATCCTCCATACATCCTCGGAAGTTGGGGACCTTTTCATCTAGGTAAGGGACATTGAGTCCCCCATGGCCTCCTATGTAGATTCCATGCTGAAAGTTAAAATTGTGCATCCCACCAGCCATTTGGCCATTTGTCTCATAATGTTTGTCAATAACCAAGAGAACATTATCCTTAATATAATACAGTTCCACCAAATGCCAAACCAAGTCATCCACACGAAGTCTTTGCTCAGGGAACAGCACTTGTTCACTTGTACCCAAATTCACTCTTACCTGAAAAAGAAAGAATTATGATTAACTACTTACATATTATTCTTCATGTCACTGTGTTTTACTAAGGAAAGGGGGCTGGTGTGGTTCGAACATTGTTTTTCCCCACCAAAACTCTTACTGGGTCTTGGTGCCCAGGGCAGCAGTGTTGAGTGGTACTGGTCCTTTAAGAGGTGAGTAGGTCATTAAGAGGACTGATGTTTTTCTTAAGAGAATGAGGTCTCACTTTTGTGGAACTAGATTAGTTAATGCAATAACAGGTTGTTAGAACAGGCTACAAGTTGTCAGAGTAGGTTGCTATAAAGCAAGTTCAGTTTCCTCAGCTTTCTCTCTTTCTTTTTCATCGTATGCTTCCTTTCATCATAAGGCCCTCACCTGAAGTGCAGCAGATCCCAGCACTATGTTCTTCAACCTGAAGCACTGTGAGTCAAAACCATAGGCATTTTTTGTTTGAAAAAAATAGGAAATGGACTAACTGGGGCCCCCTATACACCCCTCATATGCACACACACACACACACACACACACACACACACACTCAGAGAAATGGCCATGAAAATTCTTACTGCACTTATAGATTATATACTGCAGGAGAAAACTTTACAGTCCAATTATTTAAGACATGCTGGCATAACTGGACAAGATCCCATCCTATATAAATGGCACATCACTTTATTCTAGTGAGGTAACACTAATCAAAATGTATAGCTATTTTCCCCTTTCTCTCTCGCTTTTTTCTCTTCAATAACTGAACACTTAGGTATTTTTAAAGATTTTTTAAAATCATACCCATAAGTTTCCTGATAGAAGTTCTATTATGCAATAGTCATTTTTCCCAGCTGCAAGAAAAAGTAACCCCTGTGGCTTGCTGGTTTGAAATTTTAATTGAAGAGACAGCTCAGAGGAAACTTCTATGTTGTTGAGCTCCACATAGCTTTCACCATAAAAAGATGCTAAAGGGGGAAAAAGCATAAGTTAGCATAAGTTAGGAAAAGCATAAGTATTACATAATGGCTATTTCACTTTATATTATCATCCCCTTTCAGGGATGGACCCTGCTGAAGAAACCTGCCTTGCCCAAGGGTGCACATGCTTCCAGGTGACATAGGTGACATGGGTGTACGTGGGTTTAATGTTCTCTGAACCAACTCAGGACATCCCTGAAGGGTCATTCTTTCTTCTGAACCTTCATAAGGGATGGTGGTCAAGGCTTCCACTGAGACTAAATTGCAACTCACCTTCTCTATCTAACGCCGCATTCTTCTTTCCAACAGGGGTTGATTTTAAAACTCTCTTAAAAACCTCCTACATGCTAATTTCCATCTCAGGCCAGACTCCCCCTTGAGATGAATGAGACCCTGCCATATAGAATGGGAATATCTAGGCTGTTGCATTCATTCGTCCTGAGTCTCCAAACCCCTTCATCCCTCTGATCCTGTAGAAGTGTCTCATTCCCCTATGAAAACTGCCACTCTCGCCAGGGATTTAGTAGTTCTGCCACCTGCCTCGCAAGCAGGTCCTGAGTTCAATCCTTGGTACCAAAAAAATAAATAAATAAAATTGCCACTCTCCGCTGGCTTAAAGAGGATGCAGAAGCCTCCTTCCACAAGACAACATATGACCTCTGAATATGTAATCCCATTTTTCCTCTTGGTTTCTAGACCAAAAATAAGAGTTAAGTTACAATATAACCTGTGTGAGGACATGTTGGATTTTATATAGAAGAAATAAGCTTGACCCTAAAGGAGTTTCAAGACCTACCCAGAATGTAAGCTACTACCTGTCAGAATACATATGAGGCTGAAGGAACCTGAGCAGGGGCAGAAGCTTAAGGTTGAATAGGGGAAAGTTTCTAGGTTTTGGAGCATCCTCCAAGATATAGGACATAATACTCAAGCAAAGACTCCTGGAAATAGTCTAAACTCGTAAGTTTAAGATAAGTTGGCTTCTAAAAGCTTGGAAAATCCAGTGCTCCATTATAAGTGAGACAGCAATGGCAGATTGGCCATAAAAGATAGTGGAAGAAGAGATTAAAGGGACAAAGTGGCACATGCTATGCTAGGTCGAGCATGTAGAGGACCAGAAGGCATAAGCAAGCCAATGAGATGGTAGCTCCAACCTCCTGTCGTTCACTATGGCTGCACCAGTTCCTTTCCCTCAGCTTATATATGTGTCTGCATAAGAATCCCTTATTGCCAGCTGATGAAGAACAAAACACCTAAGTTTGTTTCATGAATGAGTTGGTTTCATTTTATGGATAAAAGCAAAAAATGGACTCCAGTTGCACTTTAACTCTTCCCAGAGGTTGCCATCTTCTGCACTTTCTATAACCAAAGGCCATACCTTTTGTATCTTCATCTCTCTAGTACCTATCCCAGTGCCTGGTACACAAGCGATGTAATATATTCTCTTGGTGCCCCATCTAGAACCCTATTAACAGCTATTCTTGAGCTGGTGAAATGCTGTATACAAAAAAACCCAATGAAATCACACTTTTACCTGGACGGAAACTCATACATAGTCACTTATTGAAATAAATAAAACTCAATTTTGCCACTCATGCTCCAGAGCCCCCCCGCCCCCCGGGATCAGGCTGAGATGACATCAGTTAACACCACATCTTTGCTTGGCTTCTCCTACCCTATTCTGCTTCCCTCACTTTCTTAAATTCTCTCCTGGGAGAAATTACTCAATGATTCACTTATATTAGAATCCCCGTCTCAGGCTCTCTCTCTAAAGAACCTAACCTAAAATAAGTAGAGAGAAAGAAAACATTTATTGTATCAAATTAAATTGACCTATTCCCTGCTATTAATGTAATCATTATGTACTACAAACATGTACTAATAAAATTTTTTAAAAAGAAGCAGCATTTTATAGACCAATAACAAGTTTGCTAAGAAAGCAATCATGAAAGTAATCCCACTCAAAATAGCTACAGATAAAATAAATATCTAGGAACAAATTTAACTAGAGAAGTGAAAGATCTCTACAATAAAAATAATAAAATCACAAAATAAATTTTAAAACATCAAAAATGTTCTTCCCATGTTCCAATGTTCCATATTGTTAAAATGGCTATATTACCCAAAGCAATTTACAGATTCAATGTAATACCCATCAAAATACCAATGATATTCTTAAGTGGAAAAATATTCAAAAAACTCATATTGAACCACAAAAGACCAAAGCAATTTTGAACAAAAAAAAACAAAGCTGGACTCATCATAATACCTGATTTTAAGGCATACTACAGAACCACAGTAACTAAAACAGTACAGTACTGGCATAAAAATAGACATACAGACAAATGAAATAGAATAGAGATCCCAAAATAAACCCTCACATCTATGGCCAACTGATTATTGACAAAGGCACCAAAAATAAAAACTTGGAGAAAGGAGAGTCTCTTTGATAAGTGGTGCTAGGAAAACTGGAATCTCTATGCAGAAAACTGAAATGACCCATTTCTCATCCTGTACAAGAATAAACACAAAATGGATCAAAGACCTGAATGTAAGACTTGAAATTCTACAACAAGAAGAAAACATAGGCAAGATACTTACAGACAGTGATATGAGCAATAACATTTTAGATATGACCCAAAAGCACAGGAAATAAAACCAAAAGTAAGACAACAAATGGGATTATGTCAAATTAAAAAACCTCTGCACAGCAAAGAAAACAACAATGAAGAGACAGCCTATGGAACAGGAGAAAATACTTACTGACTATTCATGCAGCAAAGGATTAAAAGCCAAAATATATAAAGAACTCAAAAAACTTAACGACAACAAAGGAGTAATTGAACCAAAAACAGAAAAATTACCTGAATAGACATTGCTTTAAAGAAAAAAAACAAACAGCCAACAAATATGAAAAAATGCTCAGTATCATTAGCCATCTGGGAAATGCAAATCAAAACTATAATGTGATATCATATCACTCCAGTAAAAATGGCTAGATCAAAAAATAACAAATACTGCCAAATATGTGGAGAAAAAGGAACACTCATACACTGATAGTAAGGATGTAAATTAGTATAATTATTATGGAGAACATTATGGAGTTTCCTAAAAAACTAAAACTAGGTCTACCATTTATTCTGGCTGTCCCACCTCTAGGTATATAGCCAAAGAAAACAAAATTGGCATATAAGAAGACAACTGCACTCCCACATTTATTGCATTACTATTCATAATAGTTATGAAATGGAATCACTGTAGGTGCCCAACAACAGATTTATGGGTAAAGAAAATGTGGTATCTGTATGATTATTATTCAGCCATAAAGAAAAATGAAATCCTGTCATTTGTAGTAAAATGGATGAACTGGAGGACATCATGTTGTGAAATAAGCCAGACACAGAAAGACAAATGCCACATGTTCTCTCTCATATGTGGAAGTTAAAAAAAAAAAAAGATCAAGGTCAATGTAGAATAGTGATTATAGTAGAGGCTGAAAAGGAGGGAGGGAGGTGGATAAAGGGAGGCTAGATTTAATCAGTGCATTTTGTATGCATGTACTAAAATATCATACTGAACCCCACCAATATGAACAACTAATACATGTTAATCAAAAACTTTTGACGGGACCGGGGATTCAGCTCAGTGGTTTCACTGCCTGCTGCACAGGCACAAGGACCCGAGTTCGATCCCCAGTACCAAAAAAAAAAACCTTTTAAAGTCAGTATCAAATAAATAAATAAAACAACCATGAATAATTAAATTTAATAAAACTAGAAGGTAGAGCTAAAGTCATTAAAGACACAATAAGGAATTACAAACCCAAAAGTTATCTGAATTTATTCAGATATTGGGCTTCCTATTAGTGAATCATCATCCCCATCTCAATTTTTGATATGTTTAAAGGCTGTATTGTTAAGTGTTCAAAACCAGGAAATGTTTTCTAAGTCATAAAATCTACTGCTCAGAATGACTAAGTAATGTTAATAAACAATATCCCTATATTTTCTTACATTTCACCTCTCTGGCACTAAATCAATTTCAGTCCCAGCTAGTGGCCAGAAATTTCCATTGCCTAAGGAGGAAAACAAGTAAGTGGGTTAAAAACTTTTGCTTTGACAGCCTGAAGCTACTTTATGTCCTCATATACCTCCAACTTCACGCCCTTTTGGGTAGCCCCTCATATGTGTCTCAAAATCCCAGCAGAGAGCAAATAGAAATGCAGGTGAACTTGGCTTCTGGACAAAGAAAGGTGATTCTTACTTGTAGTAAAGGAAAGGGTGTGATTTCAGTATAACTGGAACAAATCAGGCTGAACAGAAAACAGAAATGATGCTCTGTCTCTGTGTCCTTATATAAAAGGTGAAATGCTTGAATGGAAGCCAAAGTTCGGCAGGAAAGTAGGTAAAACACTTTTTCTGGAAAGTAAACGTTTATATTGGCCTGCAATCTCTCTCAGGCCAGTGATTATTTTATTCATTACTATATATACCTAAGAACTGGTTCTCATTCCTTCTTCCAAATGTCATCTGTCTGGGTTTTTGTTTGGTTTGGGGTTTGCATTTGTTTGGCTTACTATTTCCAGATTTTGGATTTGGTATCTACTTACAAGATTAGGAAACTAAAGGAAAAGCTTTGTTTTGCTTTGTGTTGTTGATCCATATAGAATAAGAAATTCTCAATGAAAGTTTGGGGAACAGATGACTCACTCGCCCACCAGATCTCCACGGACAGAGAGCTATTCACTGGAGGGTTTTATGAACTATATTAGGGAGAACTTTCTATTAGGGAGAGACAGATCAGTTCTGTGTTTTAGAAAGAATGATCTGGTGGCTGTGTGAGGGGGAAAAAAGAGTAGGATGGAAAATAATTAGGAAGGTATTTCAAAAAAGATTTCACCAACTTTGCTTTCACTGAAAATTAGAATTACTATTAGTTAGCTTTCCATCACTGTGATCAAATAATACCTGAGTGAGAAAATCAATTTA